TTGTTCAAGGTCAACGTTCATCTACTACCCTTGCCGTTCTTCCGTCTCACGTCGCCATTCGTACATCGCCTTACGCCATCTTCTCACGGTTCATCACTGCTGTTGCTGTCCTTCATTTCTCCATTCATCCATCTCATCACAGGTAAGTTTATCGTTGTTTGTTTCCCGATAGTTAGTCATTGCTCATAAGTGACTTTGTTTGGTTGGGTTTAAATATCTACATCCTGTGTTGCTTTTGCCTCCGATAGCGATCCAAACTAGTCCCTTGGAAAGATGAATCATTTTACTGCTATTGTTTATTTTAGAATTTATGTGACCTTTGTATACCAAATCATCCCCAAATGTGGGGTCTATGTTTCTTGGAATGGAGTATTGATTTGGGGTTTGATAAAGTATAAAATCTTCTTTAAATTAGCGACATTATTAGATGCAATATTATTCACCTCTTCCAAAGACTTCAATTTTAATTCTATGGAAGCCTTAATGATTTTTCTTGGCAGTTGTAGTCGACCACAAACACAGAGTTCTCTTTCATGGACAATTTTGATAAATACAGACTTACATTTGAAGACATAAGAAACGCCACCAACGACTTTGGTTCTGGCAACTTCATTGCTAAAGGTGGATTTGGGGAGGTCTATAAAGGAGAATTCATCGACTCTAAGGGTGTCACCATGGGTGCTGTAAAGCGTTTGGATCGTTCAATAAATCTCGCAGATATCACATTTGGAACAGAGATCATGTTGCTTTCCAGTTTTAGACATGAAAACATCATCTCACTCATAGGATTTTGTGATGATGGAAAAGAAAAGATCATTGTATATGAATACGCATCTAACAAAAGCCTTGATTTTCATTTACATAAACCCAGCCTCACATGGGTTCAACGCCTCAAGATATGTCTTGGGGCTGCACGTGGCTTGCAGTACCTTCATGATCCCAAGGGGACACAACAAAGAGTATTGCACCGTGATATTAAAAGTGCCAACATCTTGTTAGACAAAGATTGGAATGCCAAAATTGCTGATTTTGGCCTATCCAGACAAGGCCCTGCAAATCAACAACACACATTCCTTTTCTCTACTGCTAAAGGCACTCTTGGCTATTGTGATCCTGACTATATAGATAAGAACGAATTAACGAAAGAGTCAGATGTGTACTCTTTTGGTGTTGTATTGTTTGAAGTTTTGTGCTCAAGGCGTTGTGTTGATTTAAATTATAATGATGTGCAAAAAAACCTTGCGGTCTTGGTAACGTGTTATACGGAAAAAAATATAGATTATATTATTGATGATAAGCTAAAGCAACAAATGGAAGCGAATTCTTTTGATACATTTGTAAAACTGGCGTATCAATGTTTGGAAAAGGATCGGTCACATCGCCCGCCAATGGCTTTGGTTGTGAAAAGGCTTGCAACTGCTCTCAGACATCAAGTACATTGCTTTTTCCTATCTATTCACTTTTTTTTTTAGTAAGTTAACCTTTTTTCATTATTAAAGAAAACTGAAATAGAAAGATTTCGTTATAATATTTTCAAAGTTAATTTGTTACTGACAGTTTTAAAAGTAGAATTTTGCACGGTTTATGTATTCATGCAAAATGACGATTATAATTTTTTTTTTCTCAGGAGGATTTCGAGGCTAAACGTCAAAAAGCAAAGAGGAGAACCGTAGTTTTACGTAACAAACTGTTAAAAGAATTGGATAATCCTCTTTTGGATTTTCAAAAAATATGTCCACCAGGAGGAAGAGACTCGCTTATTCTGTACACAACAACAGGGGACAACACCAACCAACAATCGTTCAAAGATTGCTTGCGCATTCGATTTTTACTCAAAGATTTTAATGTTTTATACCAAGAAAGAGATGTAACGATCCACTGGGATTACAAAGAAGAATTATGGCGGATTTTGGGCACAAAAGTCGCACTTCCAAGGCTGTTTATAAAAGGTAGATACATTGGAGGAGCAGAGGAAGTTTTACAGTTGCATGAGCAAGGGAAGTTCCAGCCACTCCTAGATGGAATACCACAAGTTATATCTGAAGGGAAATAAACCACACAGTAGCTAGAAGGTGGATTCTAGTAGGAGAGGGCTGCTAATGAGATGTATAAAATGTAGTATGTCTGACATGCCAAGATTCCTTGTTAGTTGTAAGCTATTGACAAAATTGCAAAAATGGTCCTTGTGGTTGGTAAAATCATGTGGTGGAGGCTGAAAACGAGACAAAATTGCAAAAATGGTCCTTATGGTTGGTAAAATCATGTGGTGGAGGCTGAAAACGAGTGTCTTGACAATGAGTGTTGAAAATGTTTTAGGTTTAGGTGGTGCTCATGCTCATTTTTAATTTAATAAAACCATTTAAAATAAATGAAAAAAATAAAAAACCAAATACAAGAGGCATAATCATCTTTTTAAGTGTATAGGGACCAAAATTACTAAAAAGATTCAAAATAGGGCCATCAATGCATCATCAAACTTTTTTGGACTAAAAAATCAGAAATTTGTCAACCTCAAGGACCATTTTTGCAATTTTATCTGTGCTGTTTATAAAACTATTATCAAATGTAAAAACAAGTTAACATATTTTAGAAAGCATATATGGTATTAGATATTTAACATCAAAAAAAGGGCAAGGATACGATATATTAAAGTGATGTGGAAACGACCTGTAAGAGTAAATTTCATGTTTGGTCCCTGTAGTTTGTTGATTGTAACACCTTTTGTCCAAAAGATTTGCACTCATGGTCCCTACTTCATACTTTGGTTGCAGCTTTGGTCCTCCACTGCAACTGCTGTTAAGTGGAACCATTAAGTGCCCTCATGTCCATGGAGAGTATTTTCGTCTTTTAGTTATTTCCGTTGAGAGAGAATTTTAACGTTTTGATGAGATTGGAGCTGAAAAAATCAACTTTTGCTTGGGAAAAATTTGCAAAACCTGGAATACGCATGCAACACCAGAAATAGAGAAAGGGAAAATGACAGTTTTACCCTCGAGGAGGGTTAATGGATTCATGTAATGATTATTAGGGGCAAAGGACCAGACCTATTACAAAGGTTTGGATTAGGGACCAAGGGTGCAACAAACGAATCTCATGGACTAAAGGTGTTATAATCAACAAACCATAGGGACCCAACATGTGATTTACTCTTACAATAGCAAACTAGACATTAAGAATTTCTTAAGATTGGCAGACTTAAATCCATATAAGGTTAAAAACGTAAAGATATTGAGATAGAATGTGTATAAAACATCTTGTATCAGGTAAGTTTCTGTTTGAAATTATTCCCGAGAGAAATTCTTGCCATGATATGCTTCACAAAATGATCATGTTTTTTTTGACCGAAATCTTACATATATAATGAGCTGTGAAAATCACTTTAAAAACGATGTTGGTATAATTCGTCTTCGGATGATGGGCACATAATCTTATACCTGATTCCAAGTTTAATACGCGCATCAACTAACATCTACAATCCAAAGTTTATGGACATTCAAGGATGTGAAATAAGCACAGATGCCTCAGTGGATTGCTCTAATCTCTTGCAAATAAGCTGAGATATAGATAACTTGCATTCTACTCTGCGAAGAAAGATTCTTTCTACCACCACTTGATTAAAAACGTAGGTTTCTTTTTCTCTTTTCTACAAAACAAGACTTGTGAAGTTCATAATTAAACCATTATCATCAACTTTTTCACTCAAGACATTCAACTTATAAAGTTTGTTTTTTGTTCATCAAATACATATAAAAATTTAAATACATATTAAAATTTTAAAAAACGATAACGTATTTTATAAAAATTTATAATTAAAAATGTGTATGTCTAATATTTATATAAATGTATGTATAATGTTTATTTAAAAGTGTGTATGTGTAATATTTTTTATAAATACATGTATAATATTTATTTATAAGTTTATTATAAATATCATCTTTTGTATTTAATATTAATGTAATGAAAAAAATATAGATTATATATTTGTTAAAACTAAATTTGTAGAGGGGTGTGTTTGACAATCTATGTAACTTGGAATAATGTAATATACTAGGAATATACTTTTTGCAAGTGAAATAAAAAATAGAGTAGGGTTGGAGATGAAACACTATTTGCCCCATTTTTTACTCATTTTTTGGGGAAAAAATGAAGATGGGTTGGAGATGGTCTAAGTCAACAATTCCTTAATTCCCCCAAATCTTGTCCATTTTCTGTCATGTTTAATTATGCAACATACTTTTAACTTTAATACAAATTACCATTTAACCCACATTTGATCATCTTATCCCTTATTCTAATAAATAAGTACAATCATGCCACGTGTCAGTCTCTTAGACCCCAACCAATAAGTTTTCCCGCTTTTTTTTATGAAACCCTATTACGTAAATGCCCTTTAAGAGACTGAAATCAAAAGATCGAGTTGCAATTGCAATAAATCCCCAAAAATCTGGAAAAACCTGCATTCAAAATATGCAACCAATCAATTAAAATTAATAAAAGATTTCAAAATAATATGAAAAATCAGTTCTTCAAATTTGAAATTTGAAAAACCCGATTTAATATGGCAGTTTGTTAATTGTGATTAGAAATTAAATAAATTGCAGTGATTAAATCCCAAAAAATCAGCCCTTATTTATCAAATTCCGAAATATATATAATTATACCATTTATACGCTTATTTAGTTTTCAGGATTTTGCTCCATAAAATTCTTTCAAAACGTTATTCTTCTTGAGTTTTTCTTCAATCCTTCTTTTCGGTACCAGGTTTACTGCAGAATCATTTTCCTCCCTGTTAATTCTGCAACGCTTCCATAAACAAAAATCAGGTTAGTGTTTTCAAATTTATTTGTAGTATTAATTTAACATTTAACATTATGAGTAATCTTCTTCTTTTTCTTATTCTTCTTAATCATCTTCTTCTTCTACCTCTTCAGTTATTAACACGATGACAACATGAAAAAATGATTAACAATAACATACATATTTGTTAAAAAAAATATTTGGATTCAGATCCAAAGCTTTAACAACTTACGTCTAATAGGTTGATACCCTTCAAAACATGAAATTTACTTATTTCTAATTACAAGTTTATTTATTATTCATAGGAACCTAATAGCCGTGAGTCTTATTTTTCATAATTAAGTTCATCTAAAAAATGATTTAAATGTACCCACAATTAAATAAAGGACAAAAAGGTTGTAATATTTTGTTGTTACTGTGAACCTATTTATATCACTGTACTTTTAATTTACATTGCTATAATAACGATGATATAAATAAGTGATATGTTTGTAAAAAAAAATAGTCGGATTCATATCCAAAACTTTAACAATTCCGGTATGTTTTGTTTATTTGGTTTTTAAGTTTTCTTTGTTTTGCGGTTACTGTGGACCTAATTACAGCATTGTACTTTCAATTTACATTGCTCTAATCTTTAATTTTGTATAAAGATAGTCAAGTAGGCCGGACATTCGGTATTCATATTTATTCGCATGTGTTAAATTATAACTGCATATATTAGTATGGATATCATATTTGGTATAAATAATTTTTGACAGACCATAATCATTTATGTATCAAATACTATGTTTAATTAACTTTATAGAATTTCACAATTCATTGATGTTAGTATTCAATTGAAATGACCATTTTGCCCTTACTTTTATTTTTGTATGTTTATAATTGTGTTGTATTTATTGGCAATGTACTTTACATTTTCTTTTTAAAACCTTTTTTTTATAAATATATGTTATGTCTAATACAAATTATAAAAATATTCCCCATAAGACAGCTACAAAATTTACTTTTCTAAAAAAAATTGACTTGTCAATCTTGATTTTACTATCAAGGTAAAAATATTAAAGTTATGGACCCTTAAAAACAACACAAATCCTAACGATTTCCATTCAATTGAAATGATTTTCGTAGATGAAAAGGTATATTCTACAATTTCATAGTAATTAGTTTTCTTTTAATTTTTTTTATTTACAATTTCATAGAATTGTAATTCTTATACTAATGTACTTTAAAAATTACATTTCTTTATTTTGTAAAAAAAATGAATTTAAAAAAAAAATTAATGACCATTAAATCCATTTTATTAGATTGTATGACTTATATAACAATAACTTCAATGTACTTTCAAATGTAAATAACTATAATTTGAGAAAATCGAATATTATTTTAAAAAATTAACATTTTAACAATTTATTGGTATTCTATGTTTTATAGCAATGTACTATGTAATAATCTTTGTTATAATTTGTAAAAGTGGAATGTTTTTAGAAACATCTTATGATTTTTTAAATTCAAGGACGATTCTCTAATTTTACATCTACACAGTTAACAATCTATAAAAGTATATCTTGGTTACGTATATATTTAAAAAAATTTCAAAACAGCAACATACTAATCTATGTTATAATTTACTTTAATTAATTTAGCATTTTTTATCATTTGATGTTCATAGGTTTATGGAGAAGTCACGTTTGTCCATAAGAATTTCAAACATCCCACAAACTAGGCCCCAACATGTCCATGACCTATAATGTAAACAGAGAAAAAGAAATGTTATATAGTTATTCATTTAAATAAACTAAAAACTCATCAAGTATTAGCATATACCATAACATAGTAATCTATTTGTTTTCCTTTATAATGAACTTTAGGCATTCCATGACTCCCACCGATAGTACTGTTTCACCAAGAAAAAACAAATCCACTTCTTTAAATTCAAAAAAGAACAATTTTAATCTGTTTACTAATCACAAAAACATAATGTGCACATACTTTTAAACTTGCTAGTCGTATGGAGGACCATAACTGCAACCTTTGTTGTTTCTATGCTCAAACTTAAGAGCTACCTGTCACAAGTCACAACCAAAATTAAAGAAGATGAATTGCAGAAATCAGATTTTATATAAAATGTAAGCTTGATTGTTTGATGCAAGAACATTACCTCTGTAGCACCAAGACCTGATATGCGATCAGTTCCACTAGATACACGACGACAAACAAATACCTGACCAAATCCACCTTTCCCTAATTTTCTTTAGACCTTATATTGAGGTGATCCACCTACTTGAACCTGAAAATCAATGCATTTTATAAGTAAAGAAGCATTACAAAAATCGAATGAGCGATAGACAAGATACCCTTTCATGAAATGGGGCGGTATTCCCTTCTTCTTCCTGGCCTGTAACCCTGTTAGCGCTTTAGCCACCGCTTACATCCGCCATTGCTACTTTGAATGTCTCTTCTCCAGTTTCCTTTGTTCGCTTTTTATCCTCCTCTGCTTCAGAAATGACAACCACCGACTATTTTGCTAAACCCTCTTTCTTCTTCTTAGTCGGCAGCCTCAGCTTCTTTTGTTGCTTCGGCTCAACACCAACCGCCGTCGCTTCCCTAGCTGCAGTCGCTTGAGTTTTAACGTGATTACCCACCAAATGCTCCGATCGCTTATTGGGCCTACCTTCTCTCTTCTTCTTCTCGACTACAGGAGCACGTGCACGGCGTACTCAAAATTCGTTCAAATTGGGGACAGAACAAATGGAAATGCAATAAGCCCTAAGTTGGAAATGAGGATGATGACACGTGATTCACATCAGGTAATGACTTTAGGGTTGCAGTGGAAGAAGGAGAAAGAGAGTTGTTGGGATAGTATTGCTTTCTTCACCCGATTTCTTTCTGCATATACAACACACGTTACGAGTTACAGCTCGTATGGTTATCTACTCTTATTTGGATCCGACTCCGACCCATTTTTAGCTTTGGATCTGACCCGACTCATTTTAACTTTAATATCTTTAATTAAATTCACTGGTACACAATATAAACAAATATACAAATTATATTATAAAAAAAATTATAATTCATAAGTTATCAAAATTAATGAAATATTATTTTATTAAATAATTAATTTTTAAATTCAATTCAAAATCAACACCCGTGGGTTCCACGGGTTTTAACCTAGTATATATATATACTATCTTATAAAAGAAATCTCACTATTTCTATAAATAGATTGAATATAATAATAATATTTTTTAAGACGTCCAAGTCTATAAACATAAAGTACAATCCATATGAATAAAATAATAATATTTTTTTTAAATATCCAAATAACAATACACTACGGACAAGTATACGATACATAGGATACATAATATACCCTACTAATCAAATCTTATCTCTAATCGGTTTTAAATCTGTCTTATTTAATCCATATAAAATAGGAGTCTCTGGTTACTTTATCATGTCGTTTATATCAACCACTTCCCCAGCTTTTTTTTTTGAAAGTTTGAATTAATATCTATAAATCTAACCGTGTCCTCTCTCACTTCTTGAGACCATGTTCCTTTCACAAAACCCTACGCTGTCACCATTCATCTGCTATTCTTCAATCAAGTCGTAGATATCCACCTTCACCGTTAACGCCGCCTCCTGCCACCACTTTAATCACCTCCATCAGCCACCGTTAAAACCCGCCAAACCATCTCATCCCCTGCACCAATTCCATCCTCTGCCACCACTCATCGTCTCTATTTCTATCTGTCTGCAAACACACCAAAAAATCACCCTCGTCGTCTCCACTAACGCATAAACGCACCACCATCACAGAATCATACAGCTACCGAATTAGTCACTGCCTCTATTTTCCACCATCTAAGTTCGGTTACAAGCGCACACCGAGGTCCATCTAAAACCCTAAACTCAGACCATGATGATTCTGATTACAAGAAACCAAAAGAAATCATGAATCGATGTTTAACCGATTACGCAAATCAACGATTCCTACTCCGCTTTCTCCTTTGCTTACCTCGGGAGCTGAGTCACTCTCGGGTTTAAAAATGAGGATCAAAACAATTCCCACCCTACAATAGTTTCAGGTTATAGATGTTACTCCTCTGCCTCTTCTTTCTAAGCCTTCTAAGAAACCTTATTATTGTTGCTACTGTTACACCCTTACCCCCTCTCTCAATCTTGACTGCTTTGCATTTTTTGTCTTCAGATTAATAGAATATTGTTGATATTGGGTTCAAACTAAGAAGATTAAAGTCATGTTTAGTTTTTGTAGGGTAAAATAAGGATGCCTCTATGTGTATTTGTGTGTTTGTTTAGTGTGCATAATCTAACTATTTTTTATATTGGTCGTGTTTATGATTGTAGTGGTCACCAAGGTTTGAAGGAGATGCTTAGATTTTGTGATACGGATGAATAATATGATCGACCTAGAGGGCGTCTTGGTGAGTTTGGGAATTTGCTGCGGATGAAGGCTGAGCTCTGGCTAATTTCCACCCTACTTTTAAAAGGTAATACCGTAATTTTTTTTTTAAATATATTTGCATTAGCTTTACTCATTTGTCGTGTTTTGGCCATGTTTGTGGTTTAGTATTTTGTAGCCTATCACTTTGGGTTCATCAAGTGCTTTCTGAACACCTAAAATCAGCAAGCACCATGTAACATATTAAGCGGTTTATGCTATAAGATTTCTTGGCCAGTTGTTCTCGTATTGATAAGATTTATTTGAATTTATTTGTCTTTTTGAATAGATAATAGTGCAACTTTCTAATAAGGAACAAATGAAATTGCTTATCCATCTTTGTAAAATCTTTGGTTTTATTTATATAGGTGAGCAGGTCTAATTTCCTGCACTAGGGATGCTCTGATCTGATGAAGTTCTTGGAAAGTGTGTACATGAAAAAACTCTTGAAAAGTGAGTTGCATTTGTTCTACATCTACTCTTTAAGCATAATTTCTTAAAAAATTCCTAGATAGCTTTTTGTTTGGCCTGTGTTGAGATTTTGTAATTTTTATGTTTTGATCAGATTGTTTTTGTTGTGTCTAGATCTGTTTGTAGAATCATAAATACATTATGCTTAATATAACCATATATAATCTCTTATGTTT